ATAATGGTTAATAAATAAATTTAAATGTTATAAAAAATGTATTCTTGCAATTACATATAATATAAAAATAAAATTTTAAATAAAAGGAAAATCAATTTATTTATAAGTAAAAATAGCAACATGTAAGGAAATTTGACTTTACGGATCATTTATCAAATGTTTATTCGCGTAAGAGTTTATCAAGTTATATTATTTCACCGAATGCATATGGTTATGAGTAATAATCTTACTTGGTAAGAGCGATATAAGGATCAAGAATATTTCCACGTAAGTGAATGTAACGATTCTTATCACGGTTAGTGCTTACCAGGTATATTGTTGCATATGATGTCATATTTATGCATTTGCCTTAAATAATATTAAAATAAAAAGAAAAATACAAACAATTGAAAATTAAGGGTCAATTAAAATAATGTGTAGTCTATTTCATATTCCAAATTAAGAGTATGAGTAATAAAATTATTATAAATTTAGAGTTGTTTATTTATCTTTTGATAGTTTCATTAATAAGTAACCTCTGAGTCGTTTAGGTAAATCTTGTTTGGCAAAAAAAAGTCTGGTTCTTAATGATTCTAAAACTTCTTAATGAGTTTGTATCATGGACTTCTCTTAATCATTCAGTATCATAATTTTGTTGTAAATAGTTACCAAACAACTATATTTCATTTTGCACTATACCATGAAAGTCTCTTAATCATTCTAACAACTTAATTATTCTGCATTATTCAAATGTCAAACACCCACTTACATTTATATAAAAAGAGAACTTAAACCAAATACAAGTTCAACAACTTGTACATATTAAAACGACAAACAACAATTTTATTTTTATCACAAATTTCATAACGATGGATACGGAACTTTTCCATTATCATTAATTAGTTCACGCACTACATTTTTCATTTACCTAATAATCACTACTAATATATACATATATGAAAACAAAAGTTGTTTACTTTATTTATACTATATTATAAATTATTTGACAAAAACTCTTAAAAATCATTTTTTTATGTATGAAGTAATGTTTACTTATGCATATTACTTAAAATTCAAGATTACAAGTAAATTGTGCGTAAATACAACTTATTAAAGCTTCATGTTTGAATTCGTGTAACTAACTTCAGATAAAAATAATTAAATAGAGGATAAACATTTCATTTTAAATATAAAAGAACTAAAATATAATTATGATAATCAATTAAGTTATAACAAAATACTTAATTATTATTTTCATAAAAAATTATATTATTAAACCAAAAATAAAAAAATGAATTAAAAAAATACACAAAAAAGAGAAATTTTAAATAGTTAGTTTGATACTAATATCAATATTTTTTATATTGTTTATATTTATATTTTATTCAAAAATAAAAACAATATCGTTTTCTCAAAATCACATAAACCATATTATAATATCGATTAAGACAAAAAAAATGAAAACACTAAAATCGAGATGTATCTCGTTACACTGTTCGAGTACCTTTTTAGTATAAATAAATAAATTTTATCACTAATTTCAATAGTTAAAAATTACCACATAACGATAATAAAAAATACAATGAAAAATAACAATATTGGCCGGGTGATAAGAATTAAATAAAAAAGGTTAGAGTAAATTATGGATTTGGTTCATGTGATTTGATGGTTTTTATAAAAATGTTCTCTGAACTTCATCTATTATAGATTAGGACTCATTGTAGGTTGTTTCGTAACAAATTGGTCCATCCCTCTAACGGTCATTCAATTCTTCTGTTAACCTTGAGGTATTTTTGTCCTTTTCCTTCTTTCTTTTTTGTCATATTCAAGGGACCAATTTCGTAAAGATTAAACAAGCCACGGGGACCAAATCCATAATTAAGTCTAAAACGATATTTTTTTACTTTTGAGTTTCTTAAATTAATTAATTATTATATTTTAAGTTTAGTTTTAGTATATAATATAATTTTTTTTAAATATGTATGTGTGTGCACGCACACATATATATAGTGAGGTTCAACGGTTTATCGGAAACCCACCTTCATCAACCATTAGATTAATTGATCAAACAGATGATTAGATGAACATTTATAACAATATATTTTAATTTAAAAAATTTCACCAACCCTAACTTTTATTTGAAAAAAAAAAACGAAATAAAAACAAAAATCAAGTGAAATAAATTATACTAAATTAATATATTTTTTCATCCATTTTTCCTTATTTTTCATATATTTAGGGGGTGTTTGGGTAAGCTTTTCAAACTGACTTATTAACTTATTTCAGTTCGGTACCGGAGATAAGTCATTTTGGAGTGTTTGGGTAAAAAAAAAAAGTGCTTATACCGGTACCAAACCGGTAATAAGTCGTTTTTGATAAGTCAATCCTCCCTGACTTATCAAAATCAACTTATTAACAATTTACCATTTTAACCCTTACCTTCCTCTCACCAAAGCCTCAAACCAGTACCAAACCAGAGAAATCTCAAACCAGAGAAATCTCAAACCAGAGAAATCGCAGTGAAGCCTGTGAAATCGAATCGAATGTCATCTTGGAGACGGATGTCGTCTTGGAGACGGAAATCGGTGCCAAGAAACTCGCTGATGCAGAGGTTCTCGGGGAGAAACCACTGACAGGAGATCGCGATGACAACCTCTTCCACGGCGATGACAACCTCTTCCACGGATGAACACTAGAGAGGAATCTGGAGAAAATAGGGTTGGAGTGATGAGGATGGAGAGGAATCTGGAGAAAATAGGGTTGGAATGATGAGGATGGAGAGGAATCTGATGGAGAGGAATCTGGAGAAAATAGGGTTTGGAGTGAGGATGGAGACGATGAACAGGAGGTTGATTGGAGGACCTTTTTGGTAATTTTACATCTATAAGCCAAATTTGCCAAACACTAAAAACCAACTWATCAACTTATTGCTTTTTGGTACCGTTATAAGCTAATCCAAACACTTTTTACAAAACTCCAGTTTGATRCCACATAAGTTAATAAGCACTTTTACAAAAAAGCATAAGTTGTTTTAAATAAGCAATCCCAAACACCCCCTTAATGTTTTACCCTTAATTCAACTATCCCTCTCACACACACAAAACGTAAAATAAATGAAAACCCATAAAATCACGAAAAAACGGATAAAACATATATCAATATGAATGTCAAATTAATGAGAAAAATATTATTGTTTTTCTGGTGTAATTTAGTTTGATCGATTTTTTTTTTCTTTTTCTTTTTCGAGTAAAAAATAGGTGGGGGTGAAGTTTTTAATTTTAAAAAAATATTATTGAAAACGTCCATTTAATCACATCCGTTAAATACTTTATAGAAGACGAATAAGGTTCATTAATTATGATCAATATTTTATATTAGGAAATAATCAAAAAATTTATGAAATTACATATTCATTAAATTAAATGGACGGTTGAGATTGAGTTGTATTGATTGTACAAATGTAAGAGGTTGTATAATAACTCACTTCTATAAAAATATAATAACTAATTTATTTATTTAACTTAAATTATATAAAAAATATTCGTCTTAATTACGTATTTGGTCCCTTTCTCTAATGGTCATTAAAAAATTCAACTATATGAGGAGCATTCTCATCCTTTTATCATTTTTTTGTCTTTTATCCAATCAAAAACCACACGAACTCAAATCCTGAAATCGATTTTATCGGGTAAAAACAAAAAAACCAATAAAATGACGAAAATGTCTTACATTTAACTAAATTTTTAAACGCATGTTAGAGGGAGGGATTAGATCCGGACATTTTTACAAACCACGATAACAATGTAATTTCAAAACTGTAGAGACGAAAAATGTTATTTCTGATAAACCACACGGACCAAATTTGTAGTTTATTCTAACCTTTTTGTGTCGGTGGGGAAAAACCCTTGCCTCAACTGACAACTCCACAACGTGTAGTAATTATATATTCTTAAAACCGTGTCATGTTTATAATACACATTTATTTACAACGTGTATTAATTATATATTCTTAAAACAATATCGTTCTTATAATACACATTTATTTTGAGACAGAGCTCAAGCCAAGCAAGAACTGTAACGAGAAAACTGATATAGATATATATAGAAAGTGAATGATATGAAAATTTTCACCAACCTTAAGGGCATGAAGAGCTAAAAAGCCGACCATTGGAGTTTACCATACTTGATCTATAGAAACTAAATTAAGAGTGAACGACTTCAGTTTACTCTATCTTCCTCAACAAATCGTGAACGACTTCAGTTTACTCTATCTTCCTCAACAAATCTCTCCCTCGCCTTCATTGCCTGCATTATCAATGATCAAACCACCCCAATAATTACTTGCAAATTCACTATTAAGATGGACCCGGCTCATCAAGCACCACCCAACCCATTTTCAACCAAATTCACTATTTAACCATTTTTTCAATCAAGTTTTTATTTTAAACACGGTTTACGTAAAAATCCATTTCTAAATTTAAAAAAAATTACACAAATTTACATAAAGAATTTGGGTAATGATCTCCATTTGCATAACAAAAATGTGTAAATATTTTTTTTCTTTTATTCGATCTGAAAATAGGTTTTATGCATTTGCATAAACTTTGGCTAAAATGAAAATTTCATGCTAAAAGTTGCTAAAAAGTGAATTTGATCGAAGAGATTGGTTATTTTGATCAATTTCTACATTTTATTTTGCCACCAACAGAAGGAAATGAAAGATGTGACATACCTGTTTTTCATAATTTGTACAAATTGTTACTACTGCAAGTAAAGTAACTTGTATGATGGCACCAATTACTATTCCAATCCACAAGCCCTCTCCTCTTAGTGGGGTGCAAAATCCCAACAAAGCAGCAACTGGGATTCCAACAAGATAGAATGCAGCAAGATTTGCATATGCCCCTAGATGCTGCCATCCCACACCTCTAGCAACACCTGTTAAATTTCATCCATTAACAAACCTTCATATTCACACAGTAAAAGTATAAAACACACACAAAAACTGAAAAAAGTATTAGAGGAGGTCTTTGTAACCTGAAAGGGTTCCTTGTAAACTATCCAGTATAATGTTTAAGCAGAGAAAAGGGGTCATTTTTGTGACATAATCGACAACTTCCTTCTCGTTCGTGAAAATGTATCCAAAAATATGCCTATTGGCAAAAACAATAGAGCTGACTATGGTGGTCTCGATAACTGCGAGTAGCATGATGGCCTTGACAGCCACGCGAGCCCCTCTTGGATTCCCTGCCCCGAGTTCATTCGAGACTCTTGTGCTGGAAAAATAAGCAGTATCACCATAAGCATATTAGTTATGCATGAACAATTTAAATGTAACAGTAACATCGTCATGAGATTTTGAACAAACCTAACTCCAGCAGCAAATCCATATGGTATAGCATAGAGTGTAGCAATTGTATTCAGACTGTTCCAAAATGCACAAATTAAAATCATTACTTGTTTATGTAATAAACAAAAACCAAAACCAAAACCAAAACGAGCTAGTATATTCCACCTGGAGGTGGGGTCAGGGTAAGATGAATGCAGACCTGACGTCTATCCTAAAAAATATAGTGGTTGTTTTGTAGACGACCCTGGCTAGTGAAAACTGGAAAGTGTGTGAAAGTGGAAGGAAAAAGCAAATGAGTTAAGATCTGAAAGCCTAGATATGAGTAAACAATAGCAATACAATTATAAAAAGAGAGAGGAATTATTTTCTATGTTGATGCAGATGTTGTTTATATATAAATATCATACCACACAGAAAGAACTGAAGTTTCGAGCTCCGGATTAGGAAGAAGCCCAGACAGTAATATGAGAAACTCGTATGACCACCATTCAAGGCTGCAAGTGTTAAGATGCATGGAAAATGTTAGAAAACGAAAAAACCATCCAACTAGGTAAAAGTGAAAACTCCATGCGCGGTCATTAACGACATGCCAACTCTAAGGGTGCATTTGGTATGCCGACGATACTGGACAAGATTGGACGGGCAAGAGTGAGGTAGACGGGTGAAAAAAGGTTTTATGATTCTGTTCCACCTAGTTTGGTGGAACAGAAAAAAATGCATTTTTCCCCTCTCAGTCCTGTCCAGCCCCAATCTATGGGTCACATCAAACATGGAACAAGTTTTTATTCTGTCATGTCCTATATTATCCGCATACCATACACACCCTTGTATAACAATTCTAGAAAATGGTAACACTAAACTTGCAAGGAAAGACAAGATTACCAAATCATGACAGCTGACGGGATAGCAAAGCTGAAGAACTGTTTCATTCCATGAAACACCTCTAATGAGAATGGAGAACGGGTTTTTGCACACGAAGGGGAGTACATCATGTAAAATAAGAGGACGATAGCATTTAACCACATAGCAACCCCCATAGATACGGCTGCTCCAACGTTTCCCAATCCAGTTTTATATACAAGGGACCAGCAAAGTGGAACGTGAATGCATAAAGCAACTGCTGAGCTAATAAGCATGGGCAATAGCTTGCTTTGCATTTGGAAATATCGAACAAGTGGTTGAAGAATTGCATAAGCAAAGAGTGCAGGAATTAGCCAAGTTATGAATTTGCCAGCTTCAAGTGAAATCGAAGGGCTTTGACCAATAAGAAGGAGTAGGTTTCCGGTAAATCTCCAAAAGATAGCAAGAGGAATGCAAACAATCAAAAGAGAGATTATAGCAGTGTAAGTCAGAGTTCCAATTTTTTGGTAATGTTGAGCTCCATAAGCTTGTCCACATAAAGTTTCGAGTGCACTAGACATCCCCAACTGTCAAAAACAATAAAAACTGCAAGTTTGATCAAACAATCCATTGTCCACTTAAGAATTCCATTTGCTGAATTTGCAAAATGAAGGATTATTTGATCGTAAATGTTATGATAATACATTATTCGATTGAAAATTTTGATCAAAACGAGCCTATGGGTATTAAATTTAAATGAACAGAAAATAAACAGAACACTGAAACTCTTTAAAGGTTCCATCTTGCTTTAGATTTCACAAAGCATCTGTAACTTTTCGATGGGACAACACACCAATTTACTAGTAGCTAAAAATGGTAACTCATGGGTGTAAATTTTTAAATGTAACAAGATGTACAGTAGACAGTGACTTTTATCTCTGAATTGGATTCAATAATGCGAAAATTTGAATCTGTGTTCGAGTTGTATTTGACTATATAATTAGGAAAAGGACAAACAGCAGCATCATTCAGACAAACAATACATTTCCAAGAAAAATCAGAGGCAAAGTTTGTCGACAAGTGCTTGATCAATCCAAACTTGACTACTTCCTCTCATAAATCATAAATTATTGATCTCCGATTTTTTTTTTTGATTTTCTTTCCACGGTGTTGAATATTTACCGGACAGAATAACTTTATCGATTAAATGCCAACAAAATTGCGTCTTAATCATAGGACAACGAAAAAGGCCTAATTGTCTAGCACCACTCATCTACTGATATTGACCCAAAATAGGTATGTTTTTCAGCTTTTGCCTTAAAGATGGCAAGTTATGCAAAACCATAATCCTTTATGAAACCAGCATCCTATAGCAAAACATATGCATACGCATATGCTATTTTAGCAGCAATTCAACATAAGTTCTACAAGGATTGTTCAAATAATTCATAACTTCAAAGAAACTAATATTTCCGCAGGCTTTTGAATCTGGAAGGAATTTAAAGACAATCTGTTAAATATAAACTAACCCAATGATTCTTTGTTGAATCTTGAGAAAGGTACTATAATTTAGTTTGGGAAATTCGTAAATCAGACTTCTTATATGGTACAGAATGAGTATTATATGATCTCTTAGCATCAAAAAACAGAAGTTGAACAATTAGGAGTTACACAGAAGAATGCCACTCTGTAGCATCAATGACTGCAAATAACTCTATTAACATCACAACTTCAGTGGTTCAACAAAAGATCACGATTACACGACAAGGATTTATTTGGTTATTTTGGTTTATTTTTGCTACTTCCATTGACAGGTCTAGAGTCCATCATTTCCTAGGTGAAACTAAATGAAAGAAATGTTAAGTTATCGTCACTTCTTCCTTGCTCCATCCATTGTCACTGCTATAAATTTCTTGGGAATCGTTACTAATTTGTTCGTTATCTGATTGACTGATTCCAAACAAAGAGGCCAAACTTATCCCCTTTTGTAATTACTAATTAGCATGTTAAATAGGGCCCACACAATACAAATTCAACAACATCCAATGCTAAGAATATTATTTTTTGCATATGCACAATCAACAAAAAGCATCGGATCGATGTATGTGCGATCACTGAGAAACGAGGAAAGGGAGGGAGGGAAGGATGGAGGGAGAATACTGACAATTACGCTGAAGCCTGTGACACTAGAGAGAGAGATAGCAATGGAGGTGCTAGAGAGAGAAAGTTCTCCGAGATGACCAACCATCATGACGGAGATAACCTGCAACAAGTACTGCGACAGAGTCACAGCAGCCATCGGGACTGCTACAAATCCTAATTTCTTCATCTCTTCCACCAATACACGCCATGTGGTTCTGTCATCTCTTTCTTTGAGAAGCAAGCCTTCTTCCATGGCGTCTCTCGCCGTCGCCATCTCCCAACGGCAACGGAAAGACAGGAGTTCTGGCGACGATTGTTAAGATATGTTTTTTCTGGAAGGAGGAGAGTTTGTTAAGAGGATGGCTCCTCTTATAACGACCAAAACAAGTTATGAAAAGCAATTTAAACAGGGATACACTTTTAAATACGTAGAGAGGTAAAATAGATAACTATAATCAATATTAGTTTTAATTTATCTATAATATATTTATATTTATCTAGATATCATATTTTTTAGATAATGACACATTTATCCTACATCAATCTAATTATTATTATTTACTAAAAGAGTACTCGCGCAATACATATCTCGATTTTAATGTTCTATTTTATTATTTGTCTTTACCGATGTTATAATACGATTTTATGTGTTTTTAAGAAAACAATAATGATTTTATTTTTGAATAAAATATAAATTTGAAAATATTATAAAATTTTGAAAAAAAAAATACCAATGTTTA